GCTTGAAGATAGCTCTTTTGTTACATGCTTGAAAACATACCTTAGAGCGGGGGGGGGGTGTCAAATCTTAAATGAAAAGTATGTATTACAATCTATTTTTGGTGTTCCTTTTTTTATATTGTAAAATTCTCAGTTTGATACTACGTTCTGACACCATCAAACTGAAATAACTTTGAAAGGTCATTGCAACTTTTCCTACTATTTTTCTGCAGTTCATTAATTTTATGATTTAAAATAAATATCACTACAGTTTAGGACGAAACTAAGCATCAAAACACTGAAATATGCTCAAGGCAGAAATCACATTTTTCTGATTGGGTCTACAAATTTAGCCTTATGTGAATTCACACCTCATGGAATTCTACCTTTATTTCCCCCCCATATTTTGCAGTTAAAATCATATGTGCTTATTTCGTATACATTTTTCTACTACCTGAGGCTATAACCAGTCTGCATACCTACTACTGCGTGTGTTGCAAAATTTGTCAAAATGGCAGAGGTGTGGGCTTTTACTGTCACATTTCATAGTGCATCTAATGATGATTAATAATGTTTCCTCAACTACCAGGCCATTAGCAAGTTATAGTGAACTCTATCAGTCATTTTATTTTGCTCCTTGCATTCCCTAACAACTTTTTGTTGCCTTTTTCTGGCAAATACCAATGGAAACCATGCAGATTAATTCTCCATATCTGAAGGACCTTATTTTTCTATTATTCTTACCAAATATTGCCTCAGACACCACCCGCGTGTAGGACCTGCACCAAATATGTACCGTGCATTCAGTAGAGAGGACTGCATTCAATTTAACCAATACTTGATGCAGGAATACAGGCAGCACTTGGAGACAATTTACAACTAAAGCACATCATAGGGCTCAAATAGCAGCAAGGTAACTCCTGCTAACATGGAAAGACTGATAAATCATCAGTAAAACACAGGTGTGACAGGCACAAGTCAGAAACTCCCAGCGCTCACAAACGCAGTCCTTCAGAAGAGCCTCTGTGCTGGGCCTGGATGCCTTTGTTATTTTAAGCCTACTTCTCCATTCAGTTTTTCTCTCCAGTTTAGATTACTGCTACAATATTCACATGCCAGACAGTCATACTGTGAGAATCCCAGTCTTCAAACTGTCTCTGCTTTACATGCCGTAACTTTTTATAAACACTATCTGAATGCTATTTTCTCCTCAGTGCTTTAAACAACCATAAGATTTTATTCATCTGGAGGTGATCAAAGATGCCTGAACAGACATTCTGACTGAAAGAATTTGTATCAGCTTTCTGATATTACAGCAAGCATCGAATTCTCCACTGAACTGAAATCTCATTTTAGCAAAGTACATTCAGCAGGTAAGAGCCTACGAAGATAGTTTTAGCAGTAGTGTTCTCAGAAAAGCAAGCTAAAACATACGGCCAAATCCTCTAGGTTACTTTACGCATCAAGAAAGCTAGTGAGACAAAAAACATTTCCTTACACAGCAGAGTATCTAATCCACTTACAGACAAAGAAAAAGAAAAGGCTAATGTGGCCTGTCTAAAAAGTAAAATAGCCACAAGTTTGTAATGGCTGAAATTAAACCATAAGTCACACCATGTTAGTTGACACAGTTCACATCAATTTATTACCAGATTTATGTGATATAGGTACATTTTTATTTGTAAAGGCTATTAGCATGCTTATTAGCAAATGGCAGGGCAAAAGGTCAATTGCTGGGCACAGTCTTCTATTTTAATGTTGTTTTGGTTTATGTTTTGCCATTCCACAGTCTGAACTACAACTACTATCTAAAAACAACCCTAAATTTTTGCTTCTGTACCATTTTAAGCAACAACTTCCCACAGAAAACTTTACTTGTGAGACAATACACTGAAAGTGTTCTTCACAAACCGGTAAAGTGTGTATCATGTTGATCAGGTAATCTTTCCCATTTATTATTCAGAAAAAACAGTTAAAACAAACCTACAAAGTACAATATGAGTCCTCAATGCTATGTAGTTAAATCTTTAAGTGTGGAAGGAAATCTATGTTGCATAATAGACAAAAGCAATAGAAATGGGTGTATAATCTAATAAGGAATGACTGATCTTCATAATGAAGTGAATGTGAATACATATTAACCACTTGCAAATTATGCCATGTTTATATGTTTGTAAATAGATTTCTTTATGCAACTTGATTTTTTGAGTACTTACTGGAATCCTTTAGGCAGACATTGAGCACCATGTTTGAACACTGGAAGGCTGGTGATAAGCTTTAAAAAAAGTACAGTCATACTAAAAGAGAAACTCCAGAAGTTTTATTAGGATTTCAACAGACATTGCAAAAAAATATTGCATAATGATTGAAAACATAGTATTTTAACAAAGTAGCAATGTGGTATCAAGTAAAAGAAAGACGGAACAGCTGTCTATATATGCTGTAAGGAAGATGTACCAGGAAAGGGATACGACATTTTTAAAATTCAAGGGCAAATGTGAACAAGCCACATTTGAATAGACTGACTATACACCACAGATGTTTTACAAACTGCATAGCAGTGTAAAAAAAAGTTCTTATTCTAACTATATTGTATTCCTGCATTTGGAGCAGTTTACAAGGCAGAGATTCTGTTTACAACATTGATATTTTAATAGCTCTGGATTCTCATAAAAAATAAACTAATTTAACAAAAAAGCCTGTATCTACATTTGAAAACAAAAGTGCATGTATTGAGAAATAGTGTTATTTCTTAAGAAGAACACCAAGTACTTAAAAAGTTCATTTTAATAGATCAACAACTGATGATACTTTAGATGTAGATCTGCACTGTGCTACAAGCAAGATTCTACCAACACCAGCTCCTCTAACTGAACACCCTCTTTTCCGAAGCGACCAAGACATGTGCTTGCCTACCATACTTATCAGGGTTCTGGGTAGTTACAAAGAATGCTGAGTACCAAAACCACCACACTGCTGACTAAAAAAATACCAGTAACCCAAGACAGATGTTTTAAAGCAGATTTAGCCATAAATGCAACCATAAACTCCTCAACATTCAGGATCCTTCCAGTCACACAACTACTTTTAAACACTGGAGAGCAGCAGCAAGGAGCCATTAGAGCTAAAAGACAAGAACTGATGAAAATCTGTCTCCTGCCTTCTTCTGAATAATTTGTGGGTAATGAGCATTTCAATGCACTCAGAGAATGGGTTGGAGGTGTTAAAATCCCTACCTAAACCCCAGTTGGTATAGTCAGATTTGTACATGAATCTACATTCTCCTTTCCACATAACTGTGGTAACACCTAAGAATTACTGCAAATATTGCTAACTTCTGTAGAGGGTTTACTCCTTTCCTCTCTCCAAACAAAAAAAGCGAAAGTGTGGAAAGAGAACATGTAGTTTGAAGATCCAAGCAGAACTTCTGTTTGAGCTCTTGTAATTTCAACTCATGGCACTGAAGAACTAGATTTAATTTTTTCCTGGGCACCTGTAGCACTCTGGATAGAAAAGGCAGTGAATGTTTAGCTGGACTGTACCCAGAATGGGAAACGCAGAGATACCAAAGTTGTGAACTGCAGCCAGACTAACCATAAACAAGTGTCCAGTACAGAAATTACAAGTAATAAATTTAGCCATTTTTGTAAACATCTCCTCCTTACTAATCTCTTATTTTTTCCTATAATGGAAATACATACTGTATTTTTTTGTTCCAAGCTCTGGTCTGTTTCTGTTTTAGCTTTGTGGCACAGTTGCTAAGTGCAACAGGCTCAAGACACCAACATTAATACAAACAAGTTGGAAAGCCAGTTCAAGTTATTACAGTTTTGCTATACCAGGCCATTTTTCATAGCATGTATTCTCTGTTCACAAATGCTTTGTAAGGTCTTTTATTATGGAAGACTGGAAGCAAATTGGAGTTGTTCATTTAACAGATGTGGTTGAACATACGCTTCTGATATGCCTTATGCAATTAACAAATCATGTCTCATCTTATGAAGATGATACATTTGCTATACATACCAGTAATTTAAAATGCTCCTCAGAAAAGCAGCATTTTTATAGACAAATTAACAGAAAAGGAGACAATACATCTGACAATACCATAAAACAAGTAAAGCCCTTTCATTAGCTGCATTATAAATTCATAAATGTTCATCACATACTTTGAATTTCTGACTGCTCAAGCAATTTAACCCTCAGTCAACTGCAGGACAAGGAAAAACATTTTAAACATTTTATATCAATGCCATTGTAGGTGCGAGAGTAAAAACTAGTATTCCATGTTTTTAGCTCTAAAAGTTTTGCTCCCAAAAGTGAAGTAACTGTTAATAGTTCAGAAGAAAAATAATTATTGTTGACATGTCAAAAGAAAGTTGTATTAAAAATTAAGCTGCTGTAAATCTGAGTTCACTTCAGTCATTCCTAAAAAAAAATTTAAAAAAAAAGCTGATCCTAGATCACCTGTTAACTAGGAAGAGCACTAGAACACTGATTTCATGAGAAAAGATGCGCTTAAAAGCTGTGTTTGAGACATCTATTATAAAGTTTTGAATTCTTCCTTATCTTTCAAATCTTTGGATTATAATTTGTTAAAAAAAATAGACCAAATACAGAAAGTACATTTGGTCAGGAATTTGTCTCACTACATTTCAGTGTTTCCTATCTAAATGTGCATACCATTTAGAGGCCATTTTTGAAATGTTATCAGTCAACAGCAACATGGGCACCAGTGAATCAGAAAACACACCTTAGGATTCTGTTCTTAAATTATATAAGTTAGATAAAACTACCCTGTCCAGCAAGTTCCGAATTTTTCAAATGTTAAGGCAACTTTCATTACTTTCCAGCTAAACAGTATTACAAAAAAAATTAAATGTCACTTCAAACCTTATATACACAGTGACAGAGTAGATTTAGCTAGAAAGTATCTTTAGTACATTAATAAAGTGTCATGTAATATTACCGAGGTTATATCAGGTGCTTGAGTGTATGTGCAATTGGAGTGGTTGCAATATTTAAAGTACTGGTTTCAAAACAGAGCGCAGTGAACGTCCTTCTTTAGTGAGTTCTCGTGTTACACACATACATGGCAGCGGAACAGCCTCCTCTCTTCTCTCTACAGCATTATAGCTACATTTCTTCAAGTGGTCAGCCATGCTTACGATGTCAGCAAACTTCCACTCATTCACAGTACAGAAGGCTGTACTGAAGCGCCAAACCTAGAAAATAAGCTATACTTAGGCTCCAAATGTTTTAAGATACCTGAACTCAGAGCAGGAAATTAAATATTTGTGCTGTAATACTTTCAGGCAATGTTTTGCAGCTACTATAAATCATACTAAAAATCAACATGACAAAAGCATACAATGTTGTATTTTGTATAGCCAGTCCCAGGCTGATCCAGTTTCCAAGTCAACCCTGAACCCTGGGAGGAAAGGCAGGCAATACTTTTTGCATCTACAAAGTAGATGCAATCAGAAGTTAAATGATGAAATATTGCATGACCAGTCACAATGATCCATTTCTGAAGTGACTGACTTCTGCAATTCCAAATGATTGCTGCAGATACTCTGCAGTTCAGAGGTGGAGGAGTGAATGGTGAAAACTGTAATATATAAAGGTCATCCAAAGGTTTTACGAACTATTTACATACTTAAGGCACTCAATATCATGCCAATGGATAGGATCTCAACAGATGAGCAAAAATTAAAATTGCTGTAAACAGTATAAAGGCAAGAAAAGCAAATTTTGTAGGCAACTTTCCCACTTCCATGGAATATTGATATTCAAGAAAATAATGAAGTAATCATTTATTATTTTAAAATCTTGGGTAAATCAAAGGTTAATTTATTTACACCAAGTAAAAACTAGACAGGTACTACTTTAACTTTACTTCAAGTGTGAAGAAGACTGAACCAACCCTATAGAATTGTTGTTCTATATAACAATCTGTTTCTTAAAGGGCTATTATATCAAAAAACAGTAATGACAACAGTGATCAAGGAAAATATTAAGGGAAAAAGCAGAGACATGACCGATTTAATACTTTCTCTTTCAGCTTCAAAATAGAAAATAACTTACCTTTTCTTTTATCTGCCAAGAAGAGCTTCCATCTGGGTACTTTATCTTCTCCCAAAGCAGTATCACCATTCCACGTGCCTGAAGCAAGCTTCCACACACATCTCTCATTAAACGTGACACTCTTGAAAGTTGACATAAACTAAAGCCATCTAGAAAACTAGCAATGTGCTGCAGAACCTCAAAAGGCAGACTACTCAGATGGTCATTATGTAGTCCAATTAAGCAGCTTTTTGCTGGTTCTACTAATACTGTGGATATACAAGGCTGAACTCCAAATGACCGTAAGTGGCGGTCATGAATAATTTTTGCCCCTTGTGTTGAAGGACAAAACCTTCGTTGAGAATATGTACACCCATAATAGGCCAAAGGACACCTCTGCTCCATCCAGCCATTAAGGCCAGCATGAATATCACCATGCACATTCTTAAAATGTGATGAAAATTCATTCCTCCTAAACAACTGTCCACAAACAAATGTAAACATTGAACGCTGTTTTGTTTGGTATCTAGCCACATATTCCAGTACCAAATCCAGTCCAAGGGTCTGGAATGGACTGGGATTTGAAAGCTGTGGGTTGGCATGATCACATGCAGAAGCTGAAGCTATTTCCCCCACCATTGTATTTGTGGCCAATATAGCAGATGGGAGAGAAAATGTTTGGGTCCCAAAGTCAACGTGATACACATCGACAGTGCGACTTTCTGATATTCCCCTACCGCCCGGAGAGTCTCCTAGGCAAAACAACAGAGCTGCAGTGATTAGATCAATCCCCTGAAGACCCATAGGATCTTCTGTTATCTCCAAATCTGACGTATCAACAGCTTTGTCTTCTTTTGGTGTAGACCAATAGTGGTTAACAAGGAATTTGTATGATCGATGCCGTAAAAGTGAAAATGCATCTACGTTTCTCAATCTGTCCTGCTCCACTTGTCTCTCTAACATTTCTTCTTCATTAGCATTATGGGGAAGTAGTACATGATTAACATTGCCATTAACTAAGTGATCAGCTGATATTACTTCTTTAAGTTGTGCTGTTACAGGGAAGGAGCTGCAAGACTCTAATGCTTCATCATCATGAGATGCAGTACATTCACCATTTGCTACACTGGATGGTTTTGAATTAGATACACCAAGATCTTCATTGTGGTCCAACACCTTTGAACATTCATTTTCTACATGAAAGCCATTACACAAAAGTGAGGAGTTAGTGAAGTTTAGATTTAAGTCATGTTTTTGCACTACATCATAACAAATAACACTAGAACCATTTTGCTCCATTTGGGAATTTTGACTCAGGCTATCAAAGTTAATTCCCCCAACTGCTCCTACATTATCTTCATCTGAATATTCATGGTCAGACTTTTTATCCTGAATAATGCCATTAGAAGCTTGTTCTTTAATCTCAGTATCTTCTTTCATTTCACGTGGTGAAATGCAGAGCCTTGAACTTAACATATTAATGTCCCTTGTAGCAGTGTTCAGGATATCCAGAGCAGCAGCTAAACTCCTTGTTGTTTCTACAGTAGCTTGATAAAGTGCACCATAGGACTCTTCATCTACAGGCATCAAACCATTTGAATGCACTGTGTCTGGGGCACTCGATTTGACAGAGGTTTGCTCTCTAGATTCTGGTATTTGATCACCTCCTTTTGACATCATAGTTGCTACTTTAAGTGATTCTAGTAACATGCGCTGGTCTTGAAGGGCTAAAGCCATATCTAGCTGTTCCACTTCATCAACATCTTTACTCAGATTTTCATAAGATTTTCGGTCTGCATAACTGACTGGCCATCTATTCCACTCCATGGTACAACATACCACACTTGCAGGACAAACTTCTAGATGATCAGCAATTTTATTTCTGGCTACTATGAAGGGACATCCAAAGCCGCTATTCAAACAAGGCACTCTTTCAAGTGGACATAACATGCGATGTTCCTCAGCTTTACACGAGTGAAAAACTGCTCCACAAACCAGCGGGCAGCCAATCAAATCACAGGAAATGCCAGGCTCTGGTCTCGTCATACAACGACGGCTGACACAGTTCACACAGTGTAAATGTTGTTGATGTTCCTCCATGACTGTAAATCCAATTCTGAGTGAAGAGAAAGGAGACAAAATCACAGAATATTAACTCAATATTGTTAATATTTACTAACAGTTATTTGCAGTTTCGCATCCTCTACATGTAACAAATGTATCTTAACACAGCGTGAACTGATCAGTAACCATTTTAAGAGAACAAGTATGTGACATTTTATCTCAAAGAAATGGTGTTTAGAAGCTCACCTGAAAATTAAAGATACATAAAGATACATAAAGATTTGCATCAGAGTTCAAGACATAGTCTATGCATTTATTCACCATGTGTAATATATGCAACTTAGATAAAAATGTTGTATAATCCTTCCCTCTGGAACAGCTCTCTTCCCCTGCCCACTGCAAATAGATGATTCAACGAAAAACAAAGCACGATTGTTGACTATGGCCTACTACCTAAAATCATAAACCATACAACTCTACAGAGTAGGGAGATGAAATAAAGGAAGCCAGATTCATCCTCATCTCCAGTTCTCTAAATGAAACAGCAGCGACCTATTCCCTGGGCTGCTTACTACCACCTGAGCTTCTGACACCCTGTTCATGCAGTTCTGTTTAAGGCAATCTACACCCCTCAGCATGTATCTCAATCCCTGTCATGTCCCATTCTCCCTGCCTCCATGCTTCTGACAGACAGCAGTCCTTTACAACAGCTCTTCACTCTTATTTTTTTTCCCTCATCTAAAGCCTAGAGCTCCTCCCTTATTTTTACAGTAATTGTTGCATTAGATTAGCAATTATACTACACATTGTCAGTCCTTTTATTTAATTGAAAAATTTTACACAAAACTTTACTACCCAACATGGTCCTATCTATAGTTCCAGTTCAACCCACAAAAGGTAATTTTTTAAATGCATCCTATGGCCTTCATGATTACAATACCAGCAGTTCAAAGTGTAAGCATAACACAACTTTACATAACAAGGCCAAACAGCAATAAAAATCCAAATAAAAGGCATTGCATAAGCTGTTATAACAAATTTACACAAAGAATTCAATTCTTTGAAAAAAAGAAGAGTGTAAACATCTTTGTACCATACTTCAAGATGCTCTGGAACTGCTCACTAGCTGGACCGCAGGCCCATGCAAGTGACCGAGCTCTCGCCTGCTCTAACAAACTCCCTCTCCTAAGTGATACCACTAGGGATTACAGTTGAGGTATCAGAGAATGACTTGCACAGAGCCCCATCTCAAAATTCTGTGTCAAAAATACGTTACTCAGTTCCATCTTTTCTTCATACCCCACCATCCAGCAATTTTCTTGAAAAATAAAATGCTTAGAGAATTTAAGATTAACAGAAACGGTGCCTTATTTTATTCTGCTAGCTAACAAGTGCTCTCATGCATTGTCTGCAGACTAAACACTTCCGTTTTAATGCATTAAAACTTCTTAAATTAATACTCTAAACTGTAAAAATAAAAGTATTATTCCTTTTGTGCAAACTGAAGGTAAAAGGAAACAAAACAGCCTTTTAGACACTCCAGTTTAAATTATTTAAGCATTTAAATAGAAATCTATGTGATATTTTATTCACTTCTATTCCTTTAATGCTTTGAAATTCATGCCAACTTCAAGTAGCAATCAGTCCTCATCCCCCCATCCGTCGTAGTTTGGATAACTCAAATATTTTAGCCACCCACTCTTCTGAACACTTCTTACAAAGAAGTGTATGTGTTACACTTAGCAGGCAAAACACAGATGAATTTTCCTCACCATACCTTAGTACTTATATACTGAGTTACAAGTAAGTTTTGAATAAATTGTCAAGCGTATCAGTCGCTGAACTCGGTGACTGACTTGATAAACATTTTAGCAAACCTTTCCGGCACACAACCTGCTTTCAACTTGCATATTAAGTCAGACACCATCTACTGCAAAGAGCTGAAACATGTTCAGTAAAAGAACAAAAAAGAGAAAATTATTTTACTTCTCTGAGATATTTTTAGTTCATCTGGCAAAGCCCTCTCTAAGTAATACCTGCCAAATACAGCAGCCTACCTGTTGCTAGACCAAAGAAAATTTCAGAGTTTTGCATCAATACTGAAACCAAACTCTAGTCTTCCTCGAGTCAACAGGTGAGCAGAGATCAAAAGGAAGCTCTCGGGTTATACATGTATTTTAAAGCATTTAACACAAAATGGAAACAGCCCTGAAAAAGACAATTAATTGCTAGTTTGTAACGACAGAGCCCTCAAAAAGCCCAGCCCTTGGTTCATGTATCTAAACACAGTCCTGCTCCCATAAAACATGCAGTCTGGTAGCAGTAAGGCTTAACTTAATCAGTTACCCACAATTATGTTTAAAAGAAAATAAACACATTGTTTACCTACTTTGCAAAAAGCTATGCATTCTGCTCACTTTAAGATGGCCAGAAGCGAGCCACTTCTAGCGCAGAGGGCAGGTGTGATAGCTAGCACACTATAGCTGCTATGCTAGCTCTGTTCTATCACCTCTAGGCCAAAAATGGCCCACATGCCGACAGCTCAGAACGCAGTCAAACTGAGCTCGTGTTTGCTTGCACCATTTGTGTAAACATACCCTAAATTAGTCAACCATCATTAAATACTATCTTTAAATAGCCTATGTGAGCTTGCACAGGAGAACATTCTATCAAGACAGTAAAACATCCTCCTCCCTAGTACACTATCTTGGTCTTTACAAGTCGGATTGTGAAACCCGAGTTCCATGATGGCACTGGCTTTTCTCAGGCTCTTGGACTCCTTTCACACATAAGATAATATTTAATCACAACGATTTCATACTAGCAGATGAAATTTTGAAGTGTGTAAGAAGGAGACAAAACCTGGTGAAAACATCAAATAGCACTAACATACAGTATATGAAAGCCAGAGTAGACACTAAAATACCATGTTTTACTAATAGGTAGATGCTAATTTACTTCTGTAACAGATGTTTGCAACTGTTTTTATAAAGAAGCATGTGATGCTTCTTTATAAAGAAGCATGTGATCAACTGAATAGCTGAAGTAACCTATTCTTTCAGTTTCTGTAAATTAGTATTTTACTGGTCACTAAAAAGTTTGATATTGGTTGCCATTTCTCTTAAAATTTAAATCCTTTAGCTCCTTAACTAAATATATAATTTAAAATCTCTTTGAACATCAGTAAACCATCAGCAGGACATTCACTAAAATTCTGTGTCCTGCTTACAATCCTTAACTTCACAGCACCTGCTGCAGAACTTCAATTTAGTCAGAATGTCACATTTTATTTATAGCTTACTACAAAGTCCTTTTACATATATTAAATGTCCTTTTCCTGCATTTTTAATTTTGGGCTTCAAACTCAACAACTGTTTCAGGCAGTCATGAGTTCCTGGACTGCTTAAACTAGTTAAGACTTTTGAAATACTTAAATTATCAAATTGCAAAGTTAGTCCAAGGTAAAAAAAGAAAACAAATTACCCTATCAAACTGGTGAAATAATGGCTAAGACCTCAGGAACTAGCATATTCATTAATCAACAAATGGTCACAACTCCATTTTGTAAGCTAACCTCATGAACCACAGAACTTAGCACCTCTGATTTGTTGACTAAGAGCATCCACATATGGATCTTTTCCTTTGAAGAATCAGAACCAATATATCACCAGAACTACACTGAGAACAAGAACCGTCCTCTTCCCAAACACTGCCTTTCAAAGGAAAAAACTGCTGGGTGAAGGGGAGATGAAGAAAATTCTTGCTTGAGGTAACAAGGTGCTTTCAGTTACTCTAACTGGTTGGGTGGCCAAGCTCAGAGAGTCATGGTGAATGGTGTTAAATCCAGCTGGCGGCCGGTCACAAGTGGTGTTCCCAGGGCTCGGTTCTGGGGCCGGTCTTGTTCAATATCTTTATTGATGATCTGGATGAGGGGATCGAGTGCTCCCTCAGTAAGTTTGCAGATGACACCAAGTTGGGTGGGAGTGTTGATCTGCTGGAGGGTAGGAGGGCTCTGCAGAGGGATCTGGACAGGCTGGATCGATGGGCCAAGGCCAACTGTATGAGGTTTAATAAGGCCAAGTGCCGGATCCTGCACTTCGGTCACAACAACCCCCTGCAATGCTACAGGCTTGGGGAGGAGTGGCTGGAGAGCTCCCAGTGGAAAAGGACCTGGGGGTGCTGGTTGACAGCCGGCTGAGTATGCGCTGATAGTGTGCCCAGGTGCCCAAGAAGGCCAACAGCGTCCTGGCCTGTATCAGAACCAGTGTGGCCAGGAGGAGTAGGGAAGTGATTGTGCCCCTGTACTCGGCACTGGTGAGGCTGCACCTTGAATCCTGTGTTCAGCTTTGGGCCCTTCACTACAAGGAGGACACTGAGGTGCTGGAGCGTGTCCAAAGAAGGGCAACGAAGCTGGTGAGGGGTCTGGAGCATAAGTCTTACGAGGAGCGGCTGAGGGAGCTGGGGTTGTTCAGTCTGGAGAAGAGGAGGCTGACGGGAGACCTTATTGCTCTCTACAACTACCTGAAAGGAGGCTGTGGCAAGGTGGGTGTTGGTCTCTTCTCCCAACTAACTAGTGGTAGGACGAGAGGAAATGGCCTCAAGTTGCGTCAGGGGAGGGTTAGATTAGATATGAGGAAAATTTTCTTTACTAAGAGAGTGGTCAAGCATTGGAACAGGCTGCCCAGGGAGGTGGTGGAGTCACCATCACTGGAAGTGTTCAAAAAACGTGTAGACGTGGCACTTCAGGACATAGTTTAGTGGGCATGGTGGTGCTGGGTTGATGGCTGGACTTGATGATCTTAAAGATCTTTTCCAACCCTAATGATTCTGTGATTCTTTAATACAGCAAATTGAAAGAGGTATCAAAGAGTGTCATTGCTGATCTGAAGAAAAATACATGTCATTAAGACATGTACCAATAATATTTACAGCGTTTATACCCCACTTGTTCCTTGCCACAATTTGGTGAGAAGATCAATGACTATAGCAAGAATGAACAGCTGTCCTTTTCTCATAGTGTAGTGTCAGCAACTAGCTTCAGTTCATATGAGATGCCCAAGTACACACACTTGACTGTTACTAGCAGAGAAACCTAAAAATACATCCCGTTCCAGTGAGGTGACCACTGCTCTCAGAATTTGTGCAATCACTTGATGTTATTGTACATACTATACAGTCATCTGACCAAATCAGCCAGGACATGCCTTGAAAATCTGTCATAATTAAAAGGATTAAAATTCCAGCTGCTACAGCCACATGATTTTCAGTTGCTGTTGTAACACAAACATTAAAATAGCATAATAAGGGTTTCAAACAGTCACCACACAATACTTCAGCTGCAAGTGAAAGCTCTCACTTTCTTCTATGCCACAAAGTATAAAGAGCTGTACTTAGTATTATCAAACCCAAAGTCTACTTACTTACTCTCCCCTACATGATTTCTTGGTGCCACTAAGATAGGAAATCACAGCAGCTATTACCGCTACTGGAACCTTCCATTATTCAGCTACCTTTCATTCACCAAACCTATACAGCACAACTATCTTTGAGACTCTTCTCTCTATCAAATTCGACTAAATAGGCCAGCAGGTTCTTAAATTACTGGTTCAAGGAAGTAGAAGAATAGAAATACACAAGCAGTACAGGTTTAAACTCCCAGGAGCATCTAAATCCACCCACAAGCAGCCAAATATATGCAAACCATTCTAAAAAATTCCCTTTTGCTGTGGAGATTGTAGAGCAGACTGGCATATTTCTGAATCTTCCAGCTTTAACCCCAGTCTCTGGCTAAAAGAGTGGTTAACAAGTCTGATAAGATGCAGAAACTTTCAGGGAAGAAATGGCCAAGTGAGAGAGAGATTTAAGTGATAGGTGGGTAAAAAAAAAATAGTAAGGAAAAATAGGGCAAGAGTGGTATCATTTAAGAAAAAAAAAAACCACACATTTAGAATATTCTGCCAAAATAGAATTGGCAGTACTAGAGATAATTATTGAACAAGCTGTTTTATTTTTCTATATTCTACTGTGCATGGGAAAATAACTACCATTCACCTTGACTCACAGCTTTAACCAAGCTTTGCAGTCTCCTGCAAGGTAAGCTTTTCTTGTCTTACCACTGCTCTCCTGCACAAAAAATATAAAAAATTTTGTATGCAAAGCCCAACACTTCAGTCTATTACTACAATAGCATGGCTGCATTAACTTTCTCTCTTATGCGTGTTATGCTCCCTTTTTGGGTTTGGGGGTGGTGGTGTTTTGGTTGGCTGGTTTGAGTTCTGTTTAACAGCTTTCAAGTAACCGATGAAAAACAAGAACTGGAGGTTCAGAAAGATGTCTTTGACACCATTTCAACTGGAGAATGGCAAATGCCACCACTAGTTGGCACTCCTGCTTGAGGTGAGCCACAAAAGGCAGCTCTAACTCTACTCCTCAAGACTCCACAAAGTCTAAGGTTAAATAGCCCCATCCTGAGGCTTCTCCAAAGCCAGTGCAGCCACTGTCCTCATATTAGGGAGCCAGGTACCTCAAATCCTGCTTAAATGTCTCTCCGTAGCATTGGGAAGGCAGGAAACGGGGACATACAAAGTTAATCTAATGCTACGCTAACTTCCAACTACTCTTTAAAATGGTAAATTCAAAAGAACAAACAACATTACAAACTGCTAGTTATTAACATGAAATAACAGGACTAAGAGGTGACAAATTTAAGGGTATGTGCTTTAGCTGCACAGGTAGTAGAGTAGCACACGTGGCCATATTTTAATACCTTACATACTAGGCAATTCTTTTTTTATACTATTTTTTCTGATTTCAAAGAGAAGTTCCTGACAGGATCTTTATGAAGCCTTGTATTTCTTCAAAACTAGTTTACTAGATAAAACTAGAAAGATTCTAGCATTGAAGGAATATGTACTAACTGCTTTTTGAAGCATAAATTAAAGTTATCCATCTACCTCAAAAACAAAGCAGACCAAAAAAAAAGAAACATATAAGTACAGCAAAAATACTGAGTATTAGAATTATACGGAAGTGCAACTTTTTTATGTCAACCTTGTAGAAAAAAGCTTTTCCATGTCTACACCTGCCCCAAACATCCTATTACAGGAGCTGACCTGTATTTTGCATTCTTTTGAGTAACACTTTTAGGAGTTCCTTTCTCCCCAGTGGCAAAACATCTTCCATTCAGAGAATTCCGTGAGATATTTCCTCCCAAATAATTTCAGGGAGAAAAAAAAAAGAATTCAAGGGGAAAAAGACCCAAAGCAAAACACTGCTTTGACTGAAGTGGACCTTCCGCTCATGCCCCATCTGTCTCGCTTTCTTCAATTTTAGAATAGAAGCTCTGATGAAATGATAGAACACTGTCTTCTATCACTGTTAAACTCTACGAGTGTTAAAAATCAAAACAAAAACTACTGGGCTTTTCCTTAGAGTACTTTTGTGACAGATCTGCCATGCATTCTTGTCTCCTTGACACATTCCCCAAAGAAGAAACCCAGAGTCCTTAATGTGCCTTTGGCCACACACTGACACAGGACAAACACACCAGGAACATCTACACTTGCTGCATGGCTCAGGCACAAAAGCACTCTACCTGTTGAGACGGTGACAGAGAATAATCAGCTAGAGAGCCAGCAGATTTCATGTGTAAAGCACTTCTGAACTTGAACTCAGTGCAACTCCTCGATTGCTGCGGACTCTGCAAGAAATGAGATCAGAAGTAAAGTTTCATTTCAGGTGTACAGATTGCTTTCCATATGTACAGTCCTCTGAAAAGGTCATGTGCTTACACTACCTGGAGCTACAAATGTTGAAATATTTTGCAGATTTTATAGAAAAATAAACAAGTTTTTAACAGACTTGGCAAGCACAATCTAAGTTCTGTCATTTTAGCTTATTGCCAGCTGTTAGTCAAACTAAATGGCTACTTATCTAGATTTAAAGCTAGAAGAGATTATTAAAAGTTATTATTCTGACCTACTTCACTTAATTGTTTGGTTTGGCCCACCAGGAACAACTTAAGAAAAAGACCAAACTTGAATTAAAGATTGCAACAGCTGGAGAACTAAAACAAATAAATAAATATATTTAAAGTTTGATTCTTTAAATTCTGCATTCTAGTCTAGTTAAAATTTGTCCAGCTTCAGTCTTCAGACATAAGAACATATTAAGCAGTTGCTTAACATTAAAAAGCTCTTTACTATAATAAGCTGCTTCTTCCATGTGCTCATATTCATAGATTATCACTAAAACTTAACAGAGGTGGAACCGAGGTGTTACACCCAAAGGAACAAAGGATATTGTCTTACAAATCCTTCAGAAGAAAAGAAAATAAGCCTTTTCTCAGAAATCAGAAACAGAACTACTGGAAAAAATAATGCATTCTACATTACAGTAGGTAGTTTTAGCCACCCAAAAGAAGCCAAAAATAAATCCTTCTTCTTACATAATATTTTAATTCACACATGTTGCCGCAGAATTCCTGACCTCTGTATATTTACAGAGATCAGGCCAAAAATCTTGTTAATGTACTGTTTCAGGTCTTACTACACAAGTTTAACCAGTTCCCATAGCAAAATAGGAAAACAACTTTGAAGTAAATGGAACATGAACACAACTGCGCTCCAAAATCCCAGACTGAAAGGCTGATGTTATGTACTCTGTACATATAAGGTCATTTTTTCTATTAAAAGTACACCCTTGGTAGTAGAAGATGGCCTGACCACTGCACAGCAAAAGTAGATACTACACCAAAAGAATTTAAGACCCCTCCACCCCCCACTGCACCAGATAATACTAATGTAGAAAAGACAGAATTTGTCCTAAAATATTTTGAAAAATTAGAAGAAAAAGAATAGCAGAACAAGAACAGAGACAGTGTTAACAACTTTAACCTATTCTATTTTCAGGTATTTCACTTTCCTATCAAATGAAAGATGTTTTTTGCAGGACCTGTTAGGCTTTTTCCCCTTCCAAGCTGCTTGGTTTTAAAAATCAATGGAACTAGTAAAAAAGATCCACAAAAACGCCACCTATTTTCCAAACAAAAACTCACCTATCTCAAATAGTTGATGACAGGAAGCTGGGAATATATCTCATAATGAGCATGTTATACCAGCTCTTTCAATGTGGTTTTTAACTTGAACGAAAAATTGGAAAACACAAAAGATCTGCGCTACACTTTTGTGCAGGGTTTTAGAACGTATAATGAGTCATCAATTTCTGATCTCTAATATCATTTAGACTGCATTTTCCAAATGTCAACAGGCTTGATGCTATTACTTTTTCCTCAAAGACTCCAACTGAACGTTCCCATCGAAACACATTCTGTAGCTGATGACAATAGTGACTCAGCTAAAACAAGGTTTTGTAAGAGCATTACAGCTATGTCAATAAAGCACAATCTTAAAAAGATCCTATTTGCAATGAATCTGTCACTCCAACAAATTACTCTGTCCCATAGGACTTTTGGAAAACTACAGTTTCTACTAGAGATGCTTCTAAACAGACAAATAAATACAAAACTTAAACTTCAACAAAGTAAACACCACCCACCTTCCAGCACCTGTGTAACAAAGTCTGAACCAGATTTCACTACTCAACCATTAACCTGAACCACTACCTTAGGTTTTATATGAAAAGCTGCAACTATGCCAATTAGAATTTTACCTCAACACGCCTCTTGTTCTCATGCTTTAAGTTTAAACCTATCAGGTTTTCATCATGATTTCACATTAAGAGCTTAGATCAACATTTGGCATTTGGTAAACAACAGCACAGTCTACTCAACAATTAGATGTTCTACAGACTGTAAGGTTTGCAGGGTATTTTAGATTCAAGTAGCATTAACAATAAAATTAAAACAAGACATCAAGCGTCACCTCAAAAACTATTACAAACAGTAGTCTGCAAAGTCAGTCAGAGTCTAGAGCTCCCCTCTGACTTCTCTTGGCCTGTTTTAGACCAGTTTATATTACAAGACTTTCTCAGTCTTTTGCCTTCATTCAGTATTGAGACTAGATAGTGCCCAGACACTTAGGACAGCTTACATAGGATTTCTCTGTAACCCTCACTTAATAGTGTAACTGCTTGTTTATTTGTGGTCTGTTCAGGAATACTTACTCCTTATACAATCTAACCATCTCACCAACAAATACTGGAGTTATCTTTATTCTTATTGTGCGCATAAGGAAACTGAAAGAGAACTGTCACCAGTACAATGACCACTAGATAAATGATTCCCTGCTCCCATCTCTATACCACTGGAGCTCACCGCCAGAGGAAAACAGCATTTGCCTCATTTGAGACAGAGCTCACCAAAGAAATAGGTCTATCAATACGAAGGAAATTTTATTTGTTATTTTTAGTTCAATTGGACTGAATACAAAGCATGAAATCCACAGCAGCTACAGGAGCTCACTTGAAGACTAACAGCCATATGCTTTTTTCTTCACAAAGGTACTTATAAGACACTCTTTAGGACCTAGGTCAAAAAGTCGGTTGTCCAAAAAACATGCAGAAATCTTGCCCAGAAAGTTTCCAACCCAATATTGGTAGTTAAACTCAGCACTTATTTTGCCCATTACACTTCTAAGATCAAAGCAGGAGGCAAGGAAAACACAATCCAAATTTAAAAAGTTAACTGAGTAAAAGAATAATTTAGTACAAAAGAAAGAACATTTAAGAAGCAAAGTAAAAACGCTGGTTTTGCACAGCCTTTGCCCATTCTGCTGTGATTCTGCTGTTCTCTAATGCCTTCTAACTTTAGCAAAGAATGAGCGAGAGACCCCACAAAAAGTCTCAGCTTGCAATACAACCCCAGTTCACCCTTTGAATCTTTTTCTTCTCTGGATGAAAGCTGACCACTATGAAGAAATTATGCACAGATATTTACATGCATATAAAGTGGAAGGCAGATTAAAGTTGACAGCGTATTTTTCAGTCTTCCAAGTATTTAACTTGCTCACCAATCAAAGTTCTTTTAATACTATTTTTGTACTTTTGGGAGAAGGGTGGAGAGAAGAATATCATAAATAAGCGTAATTAACATCCTCATCAGCAGGGATGCATGAACCTTAACCCTCCAGATCACAGCACAAGTTAAGGTGTATGACATTAACACGCAGCAGAAGGCAGCAGCTGTCCAGGGAAAGGACTTAACCATCAAGTGCTACACAGCAATTCTAGAGAAAGCAGAGGGAGATCTCTTGCCTGAAGTGCTAGCACAAGCAAGGTGAACTGTTGCTACAACTGCACAGACCTGGTTTTGGATTAGTATGCTAACACACACTTACTTTGGCATATTAACAACATAATCAGCAAAAGGGAAACAAGGATTATGAAAAGCTCCTCAGCCAAGTCCAAGTAGAACTCTACAGAACAAAAGCAAGCCGTCTCTCCAGCCCACAGTTTTTTTCTCTTGGAGAATTCAGGAGATCTGCTGCAAACAACAGTGGTGCTAGAACTTTCGGAAGTGAGGCCAAACGACTGCTTCAACGTGCGTGCAGTTCGACAAGCTGCTGTCATCTCCCTGTACACTGCCGATTGACAACCTGTGGGGTCACAGGAGTACAGCTACGCAACCTTGTTTGCCTTCATAAAGGAGAAAAAAATAAAGGTTCCAATGCACGTCAAGAACAGCCGTCAAAAAGGGATTGAGATAAGAGACAAACCGCCACCTCTTGCAAGATCTGAGCACAACTACTCGAAACACAGGAACGCGGGGGATTAGAGAAGGATTTCAGCAATACCTCTGGATTACTGGCGCTCTGCCCCTCTCCTTCCATGCAGAGCGGGGCCTCTCCGGCTGCAGTCTCGACAGCACCAGGCCGACCCCGGCCCTAGCCCTCCCCACATGCTATCGCGACACGCCGGAGAGGGCCAGCAGCGCGCCGGGGCAGGAGGAAGCGGCAGCGGTAGGGCTCGCGC